GAAGGCACTCAGCTCTACCTCTGTGGGTTGGCAAACCTAGCTCCACCAAGTGCCCACAGGCACCCTACTCTGCCAGCAAACCACCTGCCCAAACGTACTCAGCTTTCTTCGTCTGCTGCTACAGTTTCTCTGCCACCGCTTCTGCCGTCTTCAGTGTTACAGCTCTCTCTCTTGCTCTCCTGGTTTCAGCAGCTTCTCAGCGCAGGGATCCCAGGTACAAACGATGTGCTCTGCTCCTGGCTCTTCTTCCTTGGTAGTGGTGAGATCCTCTCCTGCCTTTGGGATGGCTCATTTTAAGCCTAGCGGGATGGTAAAACTGACCAATCACTTCGTTAGGTTTCCATATACCTTATTGGCATAGTCCCATTCAGTCATTGTGTGTGAGTCACAGACTATGGCTAGAAGGGCCATGTTAAGTAATTCATTGCACTGCAGCACCTCTAATATAACCAAATTGAGATTTATATCACATCATAAAAGTTTGCATGTTCTCTAGCACAAAACATTTTACTTTTTATTGTTGTTGAAAATATACACAACAAAACATACAGCAATTCAACAATTTTTACACGTACAGTTCAGTGACATTGATTATATTCTTCAAGTTGTACAACCATTCTCTCTCCTTTTCCGAATTGTTCTCCCCCACTAACATAAACTCACCGCCCCCTAAGCTTATGATCTGACCTTTCCTGTTGATATTGTCAGTTTGATCCCATATAAATCATTCTTTAAAAGAACACAATGCTCAAGGCAAGCATTAAGTTAACCTATTGTTTAGTTTGGAGCCCTGGTGGCACAGTGGTTAAGAGCTCAGCTGCTAACCAAAAGGTCAGCAGTTCCAATCCACTAGCTGCTCCTTCAAAACCCTATGGGGCAGTTCTGTTCTGTCCTATAGGGTCACTATAAGTCGGAATTGACTCGACGGCAACGGGTTTGGTGTTTTGGGGGTATTATTTAGTTTAAAGAAGACTTCAGGGGATATTTTTGGTTTAAGGTTTAAAAATTATCTCAGGGCAATAGTTCTGGGGGCCATCCAGCCTCAATGGCTCCAAAAAATTTTTTAGTAATTTTTTTTAAAAGATAGCTTCTTAATAAGGTATCTTCCCCCAGCATTCTCTAGTACCAGTTATTGAGACAAAATAAATAAATAAATAAAAATACAGTGTGCAGAAAAGCATTTTATCCAATCTTATAACCTGGTAGACATATACCTTATAACATCCAACCTCTTTTGCTCAAATGCTGAGCTGACCAAACAACCTTCCAAACTGTATTTCTCTCTCTCTCTTCTTTTTTTAATTGTGTTTTAGGTGAAAGTTTACAGCTCAAGTTAATTTCTCATACAAAAATTTATACACATATTGTTGCAATTCCCACAATGTGACAGCACGCTCCCCCTTTCCACCCCAGGTTCCCTATGTCCATTTGATCAGTTCCTGTCCCTTTGTGCCTTCTCATCCTGCCTCCAGACCAGAGCCACCCATTTGGTCTCATGTATCTGACTGAACTAAGAAACACACTCCTCACATGTATTTTTTATAGCTCTGTCTAACCTTTGTCTGAAGAGTGGGCTTCGGGAATGGTTTCAGTTCTGGGTTAACAGTGCATCCAGGGGCCATAGTTTCAAGGGTTCCTTCAGTCTCTGTCAGACCATTAAGTTTGGTCTTTTTACATGAATTTGAGTTCTGCTCCATACTTTTCTCCCACTCCATCCGGGACTCTCTGTTGTGTTCCCTGTCAGGGCAGTCATTGATGGTAGCCAAGCACCATCTAGTTCTTCTGGTCTCAGGCTGGTGGAGTCTCTGGTTCATGTAGTCCTTTAGTCTCTTGGGCTAATATTTTCCTTGTGTCTTTGGTTTTCTTCACTCTCCTTTGCTCCAAGTGGGATGGGACCAATTGCTGAATTGTATTTAAGAACACTGGTTTGATCCATTCTTCTGTTGTGAATTAATAAATAGTTGTTCTGATCTAGAAAGCAGAGTTATTATGAGTCAATTCTCTAGACCAGCACTATCCAATAGAATTTTCTGTGATGATGGAAATACTCTATCTATAGCTACCACCCTGGTAGCGCAGTGGTTATGAGCTCAGGATGCTAATCAAAAGGTCGGCAGTTTGAATTCACCAGCCGTTCCTTGAAAATCCTGTGTGGCAGTTCTACCCTACCCTATAGAGTCACTGTGAGTCAGAATGGACTTGAAGGCAACTGGTTTGGTTCTTTTTGGTTTTTACCATCCAGTAGGGCAGCTAGCCACATGTTGCCATTGAGCATTTGAAATATGGCTAATGAAAATGAGGAACTGATTTATAATGTCATTTAATTGTAATTAATTTAAATAGTCACACATGGCTGGTGGCTACTGCTTTGGACAGCACAGCTCTAGATCCTTGCTACTCAAAGTGTGGCCTGTGGACCAGCAACATTGGCATCACCTGGAAGCTTGTTAGAAACGTACACTCTCAGGTCCCACCCCAGACCTATGGAATCAGAGTCTGCATGTTAACAAAATGCCCAGGAGATTTATATGCACGTTAAAGTTTTAAAAAGGGAATGGTTTCTTCTGAATAAGCTAAAGAGAAAGATTTATTTGGACTATATCTATGTTGACCCCTCCAAACTAAAGCCACCCACACTTAAAACTAATGTACAGCATAAGGAGCCTTTTTTTTTTTTTTTTTCCTTAGTATCTGTCTTGTCCCCACCCCTTAAAATATTGCAGAAAGGAGATGAGAGGAGACAGCTTGGAACACCGCTATCTAAGGGAAGTTAATATAGGATGTGAGGATGGGGAGTGGGGCAAGAGGGTCAAGTGTTTCTCAGGAAGAGTCGTACAAGATAAAATAATAGCATTTCCTTGATAATGATGGAAAATGAATGATGGGTATATGGGAGTTCATTGTACTACTTTGCCTATTTTGGTGTATCTTTGAAATTTTTCAAAATTAAAAAAAATAGATATGATTTCAGAGATGATGTGTGTGGCAGCCAGCCTCCAAGATGGTCCTCAATGATGCTGCCCTTCTGGTATTCATGCCGTGTGTCATATTGAGTAAGGGCTTATCTATGTGACCAATATTGAGTCCAGTGGAAGTAACGGGTGTTTCTTTTGAGAACTAGGTCATTGTAGATTCTGTCTTCCTCTCTCTAGGATCTCTTGCTCTGAGGGAAGTCAGCTACCATGCTATCATGACACTCAAGCAGTCCTGGGGAGAGGCCCTTATGGTCCTTACTGAGGTCTTCTGCCAACAGCAGCCATGTGAGTGACTCATGTAAGTGAGCCTCTTTGGAAGGTGATCCCCCTGCCCAGTCATGCCTTCCAATGACTGTAGCCCCAACTGACATATGACTGCAACTGCATGAGAGACCAGCAAGCCAAAACTGCCCGGCAAGCTGCTCCAGAATCCCCGCCCAGTAGAAATTGTAAAAGACAATAAATGGATATTACTGTTTTAAGCCACTAGGTTTGGGGGTGATTTTTTATGCAACAGTAGATAACTGATGCAACGCGGTTTCAGGGTTTCCCATTCCCTCCCCTCCAAAAAGAATACCCTCCATCTCTAACTGATGCCTGAAATGAACAGGCAAAAGCCCTTTTCATACTCTGCGTAAGTTAACCTGCTAATACTCCTTGAAGAGATAATACATTCACTTAAATTTTTGGTCAAAGACATGTGACAGATATAAATTTTTTTCTTTTTAAAACTCTTAGCAGGCTAATCTATTGAGACACTAATTTCGGTTGTGCTCTTGTTGTAAGAAACTAGAAAGAATAAAAATATAATTTCTCCCTCAGGGTCCACCGTCCCAAGAATAGCTAAAATTTTGAATTATAAGGTCTAGGCTCTTTCTACAACCTCCTCTCCCTACTCCCAGCAACACACCCTGTTTAACAGATTCTTGGTGTTTTAGGGGTAACCCTAAAGAAGACCTGCTCCCCAGGCCTTCATTTTGAGGGTTAGGTAATTAGGTAATAGAGAAACTATACTGGGATTGCTCTGTATGGGGGGAGGGGAAGAGCTGGCACTGGGTCTGGAAGAGGCAAGTGGCCAGGCCTAAGGGGATGAATGGCTGCTCCCAGGCTGTGGAGAGTTTTGGAGTTTCCAACAGTGAAAACTTGTTCCTAGCTTGTACACAGTCCCTGTGTGTGCCTGTCAGAGGTGGGAGAGAGCTACGTGGTTTGTCTGAGGCAGTGGGATCCTGGAACCTGGGCCTGGAGACCACCAAAGCCTCTCCCGTAACTCCCCTCCTGCCCAGCTGGCTTGCAGGCTGTGGAGCTGTGCCCCAAGGGCCATGAACTAGTAACATCGTGACTGAAGTAAATGGTCTTTCCCCAAATCTTCCGGACCTCACAGCACCAGAGAGGGGAGGGGTAATCTCAAAACTTGACGAATGGATTTCCCGCCAACACCGACAGGCGGGAGCTGAGCCAGATTTCTTTAATTTAGAAAATTAAAAGACATATGACGCTTCCTGCCCGGAGTCAGGTGCAGTGAATTCACTTCAGTTGGAAGTAATTTTCCCGAGAGCCGGCTTTCGTGGGAGAATGGGCACTGGGGGTCTGAGGAGATGGGGACGGGTGGAGGGGCTAACGGGCCAGCGTCTCCCTCCCTGACAATTTTCGTCACCGGCTCAGCTCCCCGGACGCGTTCATAGAAAGAATGACCCGGAGCTGGGACGCCAGCCCACAATCAGGCGCGCTTAGCAGCCCGCAGCCCGCGCGCATCCGGCCGTCCGGCTTGGACAAAAACACACGCACGTGCGCCCTGCCCCCACCGCGCGCACCCGC